GCCGGATGAAGGCGAGTTCGGTCGGAGGAGGCGGCTGAGTGCGGCCGGATGAAGACCGAGTTGCGGCCGGGTTGGCGGCCGGAGGGAGGCGAGTTCGGTCGAGGGGACGACTGAGTGCGGCCGGATGAAGACCGAGTTACGACCAGGTGGCGTCCGGGTAGTGTCCGGGTAGTGACTGGATGGTCACCGGTAGCAGCCGGATGACGCTCGTACGACGGCCGGGTATACTGCCGGATGAAGGCGAGTTCGGTCGGAGGAGGCGGCTGAGTGCGGCCGGATGAAGACCGAGTTGCGGCCGGGTTGGCGGCCGGAGGGAGGCGAGTTCGGTCGAGGGGACGACTGAGTGCGGCCGGATGAAGACCGAGTTACGACCAGGTGGCGTCCGGGTAGTGTCCGGGTAGTGACTGGATGGTCACCGGTAGCAGCCGGATGACGCTCGTACGACGGCCGGGTATACTGCCGGATGAAGGCGAGTTCGGTCGGAGGAGGCGGCTGAGTGCGGCCGGATGAAGACCGAGTTGCGGCCGGGTTGGCGGCCGGAGGGAGGCGAGTTCGGTCGAGGGGACGACTGAGTGCGGCCGGATGAAGACCGAGTTACGACCAGGTGGCGTCCGGGTAGTGTCCGGGTAGTGACTGGATGGTCACCGGTAGCAGCCGGATGACGCTCGTACGACGGCCGGGTATACTGCCGGATGAAGGCGAGTTCGGTCGGAGGAGGCGGCTGAGTGCGGCCGGATGAAGACCGAGTTGCGGCCGGGTTGGCGGCCGGATGAAGACCGAGCTACGGCCAGGTGGCCGGTTACTTAAAGCAGCTGGAAGACGTCCAGGCGGTGGCCGGGTGGCGGCTGAGTGGCCGCCCGTCGGTGGACGGATTATGACCGGGGTTCGATCGTACGATAGGTGTGGTGATCCCGCAAAAGTACGGCTTATCACTATGCACGTGGTTACAGTTCGAGATTTCTCTCAAGCACTAGCCGTCTGCTCACTGCACGACACACGAGCGCACGTCTTGCCACTTCGGTGGTTGGCTCTAAACTTCCCCAGCCTCCGTTATCTGCTCACTCTCCTCCATCGTGGGCTCCGTCACTCTCTCCAGGGAGAGTTTCCGCCCACACTCTCTTCGAGTTCAGTGGATATCGCCACCACCCACCTGCACTCATCGTTTAGCTGTTCGATCGTCTGACCACTTATGCCACCCAACAACGAATTCAAATTGACCGTTGCCGATTAAATAATCTCCCTAATATAAATACAGCTATATTCCGTGTACTAAACAGATGAAAACAATGTTACCCGCCGGTAACAAAACACACCCGTGCAAAGAAACGGATGCAATAAACGTCACTCTCGCGAAAGCAATGCCGTCGTCTTCGAATGGAAAAAAAGGAACTCGGTGAACAATTTTTTGATACAGAATTTTCACTGAAAATCAACCGGGAATGCTCGAATTTCACCACACCCAACTGCGAAATACGTTCAGAAGGAGATTTTTAATTTTGGCTTAATTTAAATATTTTTTCAGCAATATATTGCTCATTCCTGTATGTTTTTAGCTGTTTATGATCATGCGCATGCCACTTAATGGACTTTCATTTTTATTAAATGGCCATAAAAAACTTAAGATTTTCATTCGATTTTCCAAGCGATATGTATACCGCAGACATGGTAACATTGAAAACATTCAAATAATATACTGATGTCCATCTGATTTTTTTTTTAAACATGACTATAATAATAGCTGGTTTCCATCACCTGAATATCATTTGCGCTACAAGCGAATCCTTCTGAACCTGACGGAAGTTTACGAACGTCTTTATCCAAGTGTACACGATAATGTTGTCTTTTAAAAAGAAACCCCCCGCCAGAAACATCTTTCCCCTTGTTCAGCTAACATAAATGATTCTGAAATATCCTTTTGATCGTCATTCCAATCTGCTGCTGCCAGTGAGTGCCGTAACTTACCTGTGACAGCGATTATATAGATATTGAAACAGAAGGAGCTCTATACTGTTTTGCCGGCTTTTGGTAAAGTTTTGTGACTGAAAGAAGCTTAAAACATTTTATAGGTACGACGTCAACCAATTCATAAGCCCTACTAAAGAGCCCTCCTGTGGGTGTATGTAAGTGGTTGTAGTGATGTATTCTACACGGAAAACGACCAACTTACAGCAACAGCCAAAATGCTGCTGTAAAGTTTGCAAAGGCAGGGAAAAGGATTAATTGTATAAAATATTTTCGTTTCAGAGTATCGCTCGAAAAACTTCTCATCCTTCCGGCTCCCTCGTATACGTCCAAAGGGTGGGAGAAAAATTCTCTTTAAAATATCCCCTCCATCACTCCTTCACCATGTGATCGCATTACTTTTACTGCTGCCATGGTCTGGTCTGATGCCCGTTCTCTCTTTTCTTCCTGACAGCAGCGAAAATTTTTGAAAACTTTATCCTCGCAATAATGCGGTTGAAGCATTTTCCTGACAAAGCGAAATAAGCGTCATTGTTTTTGGTTTATTTATTGAATACCGGGTATGCCATACATCAAATTTGCTACTCGCAACTTTTCCTCATCGTACAGGGCAGCTCACTGCAGTCTAACTTGCTCCTTCCTCGCAATAAATTCCGGATATTTACTTTTAGGGAACATAATTTATTGTGCTGTCAGGTTCGTTACGACTGCTGTCACAATATTAAAACTAAATCCTAGGAGGGGTTTCACAGAGACAAGTTTGATGTGTACATAATTCCAATTTACAATAGCTATGGATGGTGCTTTGAAACCAGACAGTTTCAAGTGTTCCAAGAGTAGGTTGTACACAGTAAAAACTAAATTTGTTTTAAAATCACATGTCCCCCATGTCGAAAAAGTCGTTTAAGGACAAGGTTGATAGAATCCAGCAATAGACGTTGTCATGGCTGATTTGTCTTGTAAAAAAGTGGGTAACATAACTATTGGTGAGGTAGGAAAATGTGTTCTAGCACGCACAATTTTTAAGAAAACCGGATATTAATTCACACAAGTACGTATTGTCATGGAAATGTGTTTTTCCTGTCTACCAACTTAAATTTATGTTCCACCCTTTGAAAGTTGGCTTGAACTATGGATCTACATGAATCCATCTGTGAAGGAATATTATTTTCTAGCACACACAATTGTTGAGAAAACTGAGTTTAAATTTACAAAAAAAAAACCTATTTTTTATCGAAATATGTTATGACTGCTATGTCAACTTGGATTTCTGCTCCGCCCTTTAGAACTTAGGTTTGGATTTTACTAAATGGACCTAGCACTATCCGTACGTGAAGGAAAATTTGTTCTAGCCCGAAAAATGGGTGAGAAAATCGACTTAAAATTCCCATAAGTACGTGTTTTTATGGAAATACGTTTTGAACGCTCTGCCAAATTTAATTTTCGCTCTGACTATTAATAATCATGCTTACATTTTATAGAATTAATGCCGCGGACACACTTGGATGACAAACTATGAGCATGAGCATTATGTGTATAATAATTATGAGCACTGTTAGAGTTAATACATTAGAAATTTGAATTTATACATAGTAACAGTTTCAAATGACATGGATTGTAGTTTTAATTGAATTTGTGAGCACAGAGAGGGACAGTGTATTATAACGACGATTGCCGATGGTCAACATTTGGATAGGTAGATAAGGGGTCTGCACAATTTGTAAATAATCCAGTAACAATATACACGTTGAAGAGCACAGTACGGCCGGTTTGGTGTCTCATTTTTTCTTTGGTCCTTCGATGACTGAATCGGTGTGTTTGAACAACAAAGTCCTCCCGTAAAAAGGGACTTGGAAGAATTTTGTGTGGTTAGTGAAGCATTTCTAGAGAGTGCATTTTTCGGTGCTAGTTCACTTGGCTAGTGAAGAAAGACCTTCGAGTACGGCAAGGCGAGTATCGTCAACATTTGGTCCTTCGAGCCGGATCGAAGGCAATTCGGACCGAGAAGTGCACCTCGCGGTGGTGTGTGAAAGTGACCAATCTGACCGAAAACGCGGGTCAAAGGGGCTGCCATTACATTGGCGAAGAACAAGTGCGATAGTGCGACAAGGTTTCTACCACGTCGGGTAGACCTCAGTGTGGGAATTAATTAAATTAAAATCAGCACTATCCTGCTGTGTGTGCTTTGCGTGGACATAGTACCAAGACGGGTGCTATTCGGCAGCCTTAGTGTGATAATTCGATCATTGATATCGATCGCGCTACGACGGTGAACTGGGTGAAGGTAGTGACTATCGCTGCTAGTGTGTTGATCGCGGGAGAAAAGCAGAACGATCGATATACGGTACATTTTCGCCGTCGGTACTAAATAAGTGCGTGTATTTTGTGCGGGACAAGAATATTGCGCTTGAGAGTGCACTAAGCCGAGTGTGACTCTGTTGTGTGGAGAAGAAAGGACATTGTGTCTGGCCATTGTGGATCGTGGCCATTGCTTGGAGGAGGTGATTAACCCTTCTACATCATCACGTCGCTGCCATCTTCTACGCTTGCCTGCGTTGCTTGGGAACGCCACTGGACGCCATCGCTCATTGGATCAATTTGGCGCAATACCGTTGTGCCTGAAGGAAAGCATCCTGTCCATTGGATTGCTCCCGGTGAGTCCGTTCCAAGTTATTCTGCATGTGGCTAGCAGTAGCCTTTATAACGTAAGAAAGTGGGTAGTCAAGGGCTATTGTGGCTGGTGGTTGACGGTCCGCATATCGAGTGGAAAACCGTTCGCGCCCTCGATTTGCGAAACCGCGTAGAAGTGGGTACGTTCGCGACGGGAAGGAGAGATCGATTTCGATTATCAACGACTCACTTCCGTTCAATTGAAACGTCGCGAAGGGGTTTATACACCGCGTCGGGAAGGAGCAATACGTTTCGATTGTGTGTTACCCTCGTTCGGTACGGTTTCGCGTAGAAACGGTTAGTTCGCGCCGGGAAGGATTTTTCGATTTCGTATATAAACTACCGTTTCCGTTTCGATTTCGTCCGCGATGCCGACGAGAGAGGAGAAAAAGCTGGGCGATCGTTTGGCCCAACGTAAGGGACTCCTTGCGATTCGCAATGCATTGGAGAAGTTTGTTCGCGAGTACGATCACGATCGCGATGCCAGTCAACTGTGTGTACGATTGGACTCGTTGGATCAATTGAACGCAAACTTTTTGGAGTGTCAGGATGCTATTGAACAGTTGGATAAACCGGAATCACTGGATGAGCATATCGTCGAACGTGTGGAGTTCGAACAGCGGTACTGCAAGGCAAAGGGCTTTCTACTTACAAAACGCACTGGGGATCAAAATCAGTCGATGAACAATTCTATGCTGGCTCCGCAACATTTCACTCCAAACTTCCACCTCCGTCTACCAAAAATAGATTTGCCGAAGTTCAACGGGGATTTTTCTCGTTGGATTTCATTTCGGGATACATTTACGTCAATGGTCCATGCAAATGGTGATATACCTACAGTTGCCAAATTGCAGTATCTTCTCCAATCTCTCGAAGGGGATGCCAAGAAACCCTTCGAATCAATTGACATCGAAGCCGACAACTACGCTACAACATGGGACGCTCTGATCAAGAGGTACGACAACCGACGATACCTCAAAAGGCAACTCTTTCGAGCATTGTACGACTTGCCAGCAGTTAAGCAGGAGTGTGCGAAACGCATTCACGGTTTGGTCGACGATTATCAACGTCATGTTCGCGCCCTCGCCAAACTGGGTGAACCCGTGAATCATTGGGACACGCCGCTCATCAATTTACTTTCGTACAAACTGGATCAAGGAACGCTACGAGCCTGGGAAGAGAAGGCAAGTCAACGGGACGACGTGACATACAAGGAACTGGTCGATTTTCTCTATCAACGAGTTCGGATTCTCAATTCCGTCGGGCCTGATTCACAACCATTCACCTCAATGAAGGTGGCCGGCATCCATAATAAAGGATTCAAGTCAAAGGTATCAGCTAATGCAGCAACAGCTTCGTCTCCACAGTATTCATGTCCACTGTCTTGTTCAGACAGTCATTCGATTCGAAACTGTCCTGTGTTTCTTGGGAAGGATGTCAGCCAGCGACGCGTGCTGGTTTCCCAGAAACGATTATGTTGGAACTGCTTAAGCTTCGGTCACCAATCCAAGAAGTGTGGTTCCAAATTCACTTGTCGAACTTGTCACGACAAACATCATTCTCTCCTGCACGATCCTGCTCCAATGAAGGTATCAGCGACGCCTGCCATTCTATCCAGTTCAGTTGAGTCTCGAAGTTCTACCGTGTCACCGAATCTTGCTGTACCATCAGCTTCCCCGGTTCAACAATCGCTTCCTCCCACGTCACCAATCGTGGAACCTTCTGGCTCCCGCCAAGTCAGCATGGCAGTCCAAACCATGACATTGCTGGAAACGGTTGTTCTTAACATTATCGACGACTACGGTAAAACGCACAAGGCCCGAGCTCTCCTCGATTCAGCATCGATGTCGAATTTCATTTCGAAACCGCTAGCTAAGAACCTCTACAGTCGCCGATCAACAGTCAACGTGTCCGTCGCAGGCATTGGATCATCCACACAGAAGGTCAGTACTGCCATTACCGCAACCATCGAGTCGGGAGATCAAACGATCTCGATGAAATTGCAGTTTTTGGTATTGAAGCAGCCATCATCGGAGCTGCCAACAACGCCGATTGACATTTCGGCATGGAAAATTCCGGATGTAAGGCTAGCAGATCCTCAGTTCAGTATTCCCGGAAGTGTCGACCTCGTCATCGGCAGTGAAACTTATTGGGAACTCCACACGGGTAGGAAGATTTCTCTGGGTGAAGGTCTTCCGTGGGTAGTCGAAACCCCATTTGGTTGGGCGGTTACTGGTCCCGCAGCTCGCACGGCTACCTGCATTCCTCGATTCTGCTATCTCTCCACCGTAGATGAACGGCTGGAATCCACTCTACAAAGGTTTTGGGAAATGGAAACAATTCCATCGGATCCGGTCCAGTCTACCGAAGAAAGTCGTTGTGAGGAGCTGTACGCTGCAACGACTACGCGCGATTCATCAGGAAGGTACGTTGTGTGGATTGAAGATCCCGAAATCATGCTCGGAGAATCGAGATCAATAGCAGATCGACGCTTTCTGAGCTTGGAACGTCGACTCGAGTGAGATCCTGCGACCAAGGACTCGTATCATAGGTTCATGGAGGAGTATCTGCAACTTGGACACATGAAGAAGGTGGAAGAGCCTGTAGATGACCACATTCAACACTGCTATATTCCACATCACGTCGTCTTCAAGGAATCCAGTACGACCACGAAAGTCAGGGTTGTCTTCGACGCGTCATGCAAGACTTCGTCGGGCTATTCCTTGAACGACACTCTGCTTGTTGGACCTGTTGTTCAGCAAGATCTCTACTCGATCTATTTGAGATTCCGGACAAGAGTTGTCGCCATCGTAGCAGATGTCGAGAAGATGTATCGACAAGTGCTGCATCATCGAATCGACCTAGTATTCCTCCGCATACGATATCGTAGAAGTCCTACCGATCCAATCGCCACATACGAACTACAAACTGTCACCTACGGAACAGCAAGCGCTCCTTATTTGGCAACGAAGACACTTCAGCAGATCGCGAAGGATCATGAGCATTTGTATCCCGCTGCAGTCAACTCGGTTGTTGAAGATTTCTACGTCGACGATCTTTTGTCTGGAGCATCGGATGTGGAAGCTGCGATTATTCTCCGCCGATAAATCACTGCCATGCTTAGTTCCGCTGGGTTCATGCTGAAGAAGTGGGCGTCGAATGCCCACGAAGTGCTAGAGGGTGTCCCACCAGAGGATCTTGCAATTCAGCCTATCCATGATCTACAGGATGAGCAGACAATCTCCACACTTGGTCTACTTTGGGAGCCAACCGCCGATATGCTACGGTTCAAGGTTGAATTACCTCTTCCTGCTGCCATCCTTACAAAGCGGAAAGTGATGTCGTATATAGCTCAAATATTCGACCCACTGGGATTATTGGGTCCAACGACAACCAAGGCAAAGCTCTTCATGCAACATTTGTGGACGTTGAAGCGCAATGGTGTTTCCTGTGAATGGGATTCTCCACTACCAGAGAAACTTCAAGCCGATTGGAAGCAGTTTCACTCTACCCTCCACATTCTCGCTGATATCCGTATTCCTCGATTGGTGTTGGCTTCCGGAGTCAACAATATCCAGCTGCATTTCTTCGCCGATGCATCCTCCATTGCATACGGTACGTGCTGCTACGTTCGCACGGAATCAATGGTAGGAGTATTTGTACACCTTTTGTCATCTAAGTCTAAGGTCGCCCCGTTGTCTACACATCATTCCATCGCTAGACTTGAGCTCTGTGCCGCTCATCTAGCTACTCAACTTTACAAGAAAGTAGAAGCGACCTTGAAGGTTTCAGCAACGGCATTCTTTTGGTCGGATTCCAGTACCGTGCTTCAGTGGTTGCGTGCATCTCCAAATCGCTGGAAGACATTCGTCGCCAATCGCGTGTCTAAAATCCAGACCACCACGGATATCAATCACTGGAGACACATCGCAGGCTTAGAGAATCCTGCGGACGATATTTCTCGTGGCCTAAATCCAACGGATATTCTGCACCGTTATCGGTGGTGGCATGGCCCACCATGGTTGTCTCAAACTCGCGATCTCTGGCCCAGGACCATCATCGATCAGGAGTACTCCCCCGCAGCGTCCGAAGAAGGGCGCAAAATTCCGATTGTTGCAATGACTGCTGCACAAGCAACTCTCTGTGAGGATTTGTTCGCACGGTACTCCAGCTACAGCAAACTACGCCGAGTCTTGGCATTCTGCGAACGCTACCTACAGTGCCTGAAAGATCGTTCTCTCCTGCGCAAATCCTATCCCAGTTTCGCTGAACTAGTAGTTCAAGGAGATAAAGCCGCATCCGTTTCACGAGTTACCACCACCGAGCTTCAACACGCCGAACAGCTACTGTGCCGTTTATCACAACGCAAGGCTTTCGCTGAGGAGCTCTCCGATCTTGCAAATGGCGAACGCGTCATTAAGTCATCTTCACTCAAATGGCTGAACCCGTTCGTAGACCAAAACGGTATCATCCGCGTCGGTGGTCGTATCCGTAACGCCACGTTATCCGACGCAATCAAACACCCGATCGTTCTGTCCGCTAAACATCCGCTGTCTGCTCTGTTGGCTAGCAGTTACCACCAAAAGCTACTGCATGCAGGTCCACAACTCCTGCTAGCCACTCTCCGCCAGAAGTTTTGGATTCTGGGCGGCAGAAACCTCATAAAATCCGTCTTCCACCAATGCCACACTTGTTTTAGAAGCAAGCCAACTCTAGTCCAGCAGAGCACAGCCGATCTGCCGGTATCGCGAGTTTCGCCGACGCGTCCGTTTTCCGTGTGCGGTATCGACTACTGTGAACCGTTCTACATCAAGTCAGCAGTTCGAAAGCGTGGTCCTACAAAAATCTACGTGGCCATATTCGTTTGCTTCTCAAAGCTGTTCACATCGAGTTAGTGAGCGATTTGTCAACTCCTGCGTTCCTAGCTGCACTACGTCGTCTAGTCGCCCGCCGAGGAAAAGTCGTCGAGCTCCATTCTGACAATGCTACTGCCTTCAAAGGTGCTTCGCATGCCTTGAATAGGATTTACCGAATGCTAAAGATTGAAGCTGCTGACCGTGCGCAAATCTTCGATTGGTGCTCCGAAAATGAAATCGTCTGGAAGTTTATTCCACCCCGAGCTCCACACTTCGGAGGCCTCTGGGAAGCCGCTGTCAAATCTGCGAAAACGCATCTGCTGAAGACCGTTGGTAACGTCAACTTAGCCTACGAGGACCTGTTGACATTGTTAGCACAAGTCGAGATGTGCCTCAACTCTCGTCCGCTTACGCCGATACCCGAGGACCCATCTGACCTAAAAGTCCTAACGCCAGGACACTTCCTTGTTGGAAGCAGCCTACAAGCGGTTCCTGAACCGAACTGGACGGATACCGCTGATAATCGCTTAGACCATTGGGAATTGACCCAGAAACGGCTGCAGGTGATCTGGTCGCGCTGGTACTCGGAGTATCTACAACAGCTACAATCTCGTGCAACTAAGGGTTGCAATCCGCCAGTCACCATCGAAGTTGGTGCCATTGTCATTATAAAGGAAGACAATGTTCCACCAACAAATTGGCCGTTGGGGAAAATTATCAAGCTTCATCCTGGAAAAGCTGGTGTTGTACGAGTGGTGACTCTTCGAACAGCATCAGCTAAAGAAGTCGTGCGCCCCGTAGCACGAATCGCGTTACTTCCGTCGATGAAATCATCATCAACCTTGTGACCAGGTAGAGCAACCCATTCCGGGAAAATTAGCTCGATGCGCACCTGCACATTGCACAGGTAATTGTAGGTCCAATAAATTACACTTGCCTCGTAAGATCTACCTGTTCCTTCTCTTGTTCCCGGTCTCCGTCGAGGAATAATCATCCCACATCTACCACTGGATCAACCCGTGAACCCGTGGTTAAGCGTGCAAATGGAGAATCATGCGCAGCCGAAATTCTTGCAGTGAAAGGGAAAAGGGATGGTTTTTTGTAAATAAGTAGATTAAAGATCAGTTGAAATATTCCATATTTTCCATATTTCAAGGTGGCCGGAATGTTAGAGTTAATACATTAGAAATTTGAATTTATACATAGTAACAGTTTCAAATGACATGGATTGTAGTTTTAATTGAATTTGTGAGCACAGAGAGGGAGAGTGTATTATAACGACGATTGCCGATGGTAAACATTTAGATAGGTAGATAAGGGGTCTGCACAATTTGTAAATAATCCAGTAACAATATACACGTTGAAGAGCACAGTACACCCCCCGAGTATCTAGACAGAAAATCTTAGTTTCACGTACCCACTTACAAATTGTAGATGTCTCCACCGTACGTAAACAATGGGTTCAGCCATCGTTGGTGGCACAACTTTTTTCACATCAGAAAACATGTTGTTGTTTCACTTCATGTGGACGTCGAAAGCAGGCCAAGAATAGATTTTGAGTGAGACGTATTACTGATGTTGCATTATTTTCCTCATATCTTGGAATTTAATCGATTTGATGAAATCAAAATTCATTATTTGGTCTGGTTTGGTTAATTCCTCGGGGGCATCTGGGACATGCCCGGAACTGACCAATGTGATCCACGGCGCTCGAAATGGCCACAATTGAATTGGTTAACATATTTTGAAGTAATTTGTTTTGTAACATGATAGGTTTTATTCCATACCGGTCAAATTTAGTATCATGGCTCACATTCCCCAAAACATGTTCCTGCCACATTTCCAGCACAAGTTGACCGATTTTGAATTTGTTCATTAAAGCTCTATGGACGAGGCTATGGGATCATGATACTTTTCATTTGGTGGTTGTTGCTTGCAATTCGCATTAGTTATTACGATAATACTGGTAATACGACTTAGCTCCAAAAATGCATGTCTATCGGAAATAGTTGACCGATTCTAAATTTGATCAACATCATTCAATGTGACCATAATACTTTTTGTTAGCTGGTTGCTTCGTTTAGATCGCGAATTTCGCGATTTTCGGATCTTGTTCCGTCCATATTTCCGAGACCAGTTCTTCGATTGAAAATCTATTAATCAACACCCGCATTAACAATAACCATAAGAAGCGCCTAACCACCAATTTGGATTATCATACTAACTTTATGTGGTATGGTCGTACCATCTATGATATCGTTAGTGAATGGTACATGTTTATTGGGGCATTCTATAGAATCATGGTACCTTTCATTTGATGGCTGTTGCGTTCAATTCGGTAGAGTGGTTGCCGAGAAATGCATTTAAGAAAAATTTGCTACGCGCTCTCACAGATAGGCATTTTCCGATCCCGTTATGTTGAGTCGATTGGATAACTATGAGAAAAATATCAATGTTTTTACAAAAACAAAACTCAAAAACGTTTAAAAAAGAGTTGATCAAAAATAAGACCAATTGAAAATTTACTCCACCATTATTCGATTTGACAGAACCAGAGTACCAGAATTTTCGGGGTACATTGACATTATACTGGTGCTGTCAAATAGCTCCCGGGGTGAGCACAGTACGGCCGGTTTGGTTTCTCATTTTTTCTTTGGTCCTTCGATGACTGAATCGGTGTGTTTGAACAACAAAGTCCTCCCGTAAAAAGGGACTTGGAAGAATTTTGTGTGGTTAGTGAAGCATTTCTAGAGAGTGCATTTTTCGGTGCTAGTTCACTTGGCTAGTGAAGAAAGACCTTCGAGTACGGCAAGGCGAGTATCGTCAACAAGCACTATACAACAACTATACACAAACTATACCAGTGTGACCATGGATGTGTTTATAGTATATTATACAAATAATGCTCATGCTCATAGTTTGTCATTCAAGTGTGTCCGCGGCATAAGCAAGGATTTTCTATAGGATTGCTGAATAGATACAAAACTAACTGGGGATATTTTTATTTATCTTATACCGTTTTTGAGATGTGCCCGAAAAACTGATGACCGGTCTAGCACTCTTCTTTAAAAAAAAATTGTTCTTTCTCCTCGCACACCGTCCGTACTCGTAGCAGCTTAAATACCGACCTACCCATCGATATTATATTAAAATCAAATTAAATTATATAAAAATGAAGGGGTCGGCCTAGTTGAAACGTCTAAGTCAAACGATATGGTCGACATTATGAAACAGATCGTTCGGATGATCGTCGCCACTACCTATAGCTAATAACGCCGTTAAAACCCGTTTTTAGGTATAGATAGATATGTGTTGAAGATAATATACCTGATTTGAATAAAAAGAGTTGCTAAAGCTCGTTGAAGTATTGACTGTGCTTGGTTCAAAAGTTACGATTTTTTTGAAGTTGGTGGTGTCCGAGAAAATCAAAAAAACTTTTCCGGAAAAATTGGGAAACCTGTTTTTTTTTTTACTTTTGTTAATATATCCATGAGCTCTACCAAGGCGAAGTTTCATAGAAATCGAAGACCCTTCGGACCAAACCTGTTCGGTAACTTAAAAAAAATCCCCGTCAAAAGGTGGAGCAGAAACCCATCCTGGAAAAGCAGGCGAAACATATTTCCATGAAAACACGTACTGCTAATTACATTACTTGCCGAATTGCATTACTCCGAATGTGAAAAGAATGAGCGGAAATCAACAGAAGTCAGAATCTCCTTTTGTAGAGTGACATTCGGGGTAGTGACATTTGGAGTAGTGACATTCGGGCAATGACGTTCGGGAGAGGAACATTCGCAGTAATGTAGCACAACCATTTTACTACGTATCAACTACTCGGCTAGGGTATTACTATGCCCGTTATCTATGTTCAAAAAGCAGCAATCAATTATGTTTTCAATCATATCTTAACAAATAACCGACCTGCAGCCGAAATTCTACTGTTAACTATGTTAAAAAATAAACTTAACATGTATGCTAACATAAGAACAGTTCAGGTTATAAAACAGACATCAAAAATGGTCTGTAACTTTTAAATTTTTCATTGTATCCGCATTGTTTATTCAGGATATATATACAGCCATTCCATAGCAAAACGATATAGTGGTTCTGAGAATTTCGTAACAATTGGTAGTTTTGTTCCTTATCGAAAAATATTAGACCCGTATTTTTTTATTTTCTCATTAGGGTGACCATTTCTATGTTAGGTTGGTCCAAAAATAGATTTTTTCTATTTTTTTTTTTTTCCAAAAATGGCATTTTTTTAAATCATTACTTTTGAACCATTGAACCGATTTGAACGATCCAAATATCAAATGAAAGGTTATTAAAAATACTTTTCAGAAAAAATATGTATATTTTTTTTAAATTAGTGTTTTGTATAGAAGAACTTTGATTGTATTTGTTTTTTATGGTTTGTAAACAATGGGCGTAACACGTTTATATATATATTTTTTTATTTTTTTTTTTAAATCTAGGCTTTTCTACACAACATATCAAAAAATCAGCGATGTATTTATCTTCGTTTTTGAGTTACGATTTTTTTTTAATTATCTGCGTCTCCATTGGTACATAGCTGACATAGTCACCTAATCCATATCAATTTTCTGCTTCTGCTTTTATAGGCTTGTTTATTCAAAGTGAATACTTCAACACACTAAAAAAATCTGAATTTTACTGGTGGTGTAAACATCCATGCATGCAAACATTTATGCATGTAAACTTCCTTTTCGCGTAAATTAGCAGCTTGCAAGAAATGTTGTAAACAAAGGTGGAAAGTTGCATACAATATATGGAATATTGCATGACATGTCTTAGGAACTTAGGATGAACTTAGAAGTGAAATAAGTACTGACAGTGTGTCTACTACAAACGATGATGAAATCATTCAGCAACACTCAAGGAAAAGGTTCTAAAAACTCATGATAATAATGAGAAGTATCGTATTCTCACGACTTTACCTAGAAGCTGATCAGCATATAAAATAACGAAGGAATTCGGTGTTTCTCAATATATGGCTAATCGGACCAAAACACTACAGG